GTTTTTATGCATGTTCCCAGATATATATATATGCATGCATATATATATATATATATTTGTTTGTTTGTTTATTTATTTGTGTTTGTTTGTTTGTTTATATTTAGCACAAAGTGCATTCTAATTATTTGTTTATTATAAATTTCTGTATATTTATTTATATATATTTTTGTTGATTTACATTTATTAGTATTTGTTTATACTTACTCATTTACACCTACTGATATATTCATTTGTATTTATTTATTTATTTATTTATTTATATTTATTTATATTATTTATTGCTTACTCCGTCTTGAGATCTCTTCTTAGCGATCTTTACTATTAACTCTGCGATGTCCTGCGCAGGTGTAAACCGAATAGGCTGCTGCTGCTGCTGCTGCTGCTGTTGCTGTTGCTGTTGCTGCTGTTGCTGTTGCAACTCTTGCTGCTGCTGCTGCATGTCCTGTTTCTGTTGCAGATCGTGTTGCTGCTTGCCTTGCTGCTGCTGTTTCTGCTGCTGCTGCTGCTGCTGTTGCTGCTGCTGCTGCTGCTGCTGCAGCAAGTAGGCCTCATCAGGAGACAGAGCTAGGGAGCAGAACATCTCTATTTCTCTATCGAACAGATTATCACTGACTCCATCACTAAAGACAAGAATAAGGTCTCCTGGCTGCAGCAGCAACGGCTGAGGAGGTGCATAACCCATATCTGCTGAATCTCCCTGAGGGTCTACACGCTGCAGCACTGCAACAAAACGAGCAAAACCCTGCTGCTTCAGCAAACCCCAGCTGCTGCGATCGGGTAGATTACATAGTTGATACGGGGCTCCGTTCTCCCACCGCTGTTCCTGTGTGCGCCAGCAGCAGCGCCGCAGCAGACGGGGAAACCGATTGCTGCTGCTGCTGCTGCTGCTGCTGCTGTTGAGGCTGATGTTGCTGCTGCTGCTGCTGTTGTTGTTGTTACCCGAGAGCAACAACGCCTCTGGCTTGACGCTTGGTGCTGCAGCAGCATAAAAAGACATGCTGCTCGGCAGCAGCTGTCTGCGCAACACCATCAATACAGAGTCGCCTAAACAAACAACACCAAATCTACCCGTCTTTCTGTCTATACAGCCCACCGCTGCAGTGCTGCTGCCCCAGCGGTTCTCGCTGCTGCTGCAGACAGCTTCATGAGCGCGCTGCAGCAGCAAACGCGCACGTGAATTAGCATCTAGGCAGCGATACTGAGGAGACATACGCTGCGGATGCAGGTTTGCTGCTGCTTCTGCTGCTGCTGCTGCAGCAAGACCCTCAGAAAATCGGGAGGCGTCGATCCCTTCAACTGCCCAACTCCCCACACCATCAAACACCCCAAAGCATCCCTCCTCCTCTAACAAAAAAAATGCATCTTCGCAGCAGCTGCTGCTGCTCTTTGCTAGCCTGCAGCCGCCTCCTTCTATGCGAAACGGCACGCCAGCAGCAGCGGCACCGCCTCCAGCAGCAGCAGCAGCAGCTGCTGCTGCTGCTGCTGCTGGGGCAACGCCTGTTCCGCATCCCGGCCCTGCAAATCCTGCTCGGGCTGCTGCCCCTGCTGCGCCTCCGGCTGCTGCTGCTGTTGCTGTTGCTGCTCGTGCTGCAGCGCTGCTACACCCGCTGCCCCCAGGACTCTTCCCAGCTGTGACCCCATAGAAGGAGGAGCGCGCAGCATGCTGCTGCTGCTGCTGCAGCTGCAGCTGATGCTGCTGTTGTTGCTGCTGGCGCTGCTGCAGCATGACCTTCTTCCATGTAGGATAAAGTGTAGGGTCTGCTGGCAGCTGCGGCAGCAGCGCCGTAGCCGCCTCTAGGTGCAGATACACCGCAAGCGGGGCATAGGCTACAGCTTCTTCTAGTGCTGCACAGTCGCGCAGCAAGAAGCCCCCAAGCAGCAGATGCAGCTGTTTTGCTGCCTTCAGTCGCTCCACTTCTGCTGCTGCTGCTGCCAGCACCATGTGCTGCTGCTGCTGCTGCTGCTGCTGCTGCTTGAAACGAAGGCGAATCTCCTCTGTCACAGCTGCGCGCTTCCGCAGAGAGCAGAATGTGGGGCGCACGCGCGTTATGAATTGCTGCAGCCGCTGCAGCAGAGACACAGCAGCAGCAGCTGCTGCTGCTGCCCCGCCGTCGCTGTTGTCGCTGCGCTGCTGAGGGGAGACACACTCCGAGGCAGCAGCAGCATCTGCTGCTGCTGCTGCTGCTTCTGCTGCTCCAGCAGGAGCGCGCATAATCAAACAGCTTCCTGCTTCTGACGAAGCATCAGCAGGCGGCGGGTACAGTGGAGGATCTGCTGCTGCTGTGGGCAGCGGCGAGCGCAGCAGCACAACCAATACACAGTGCTGCTGCTGCTGCTGCTGCTGCTGTTTTTGCTGCGTCCCCCACAGCAGGTTTTCCTTCTCCTCTGCAGGCTCCATTCCTGAAGGTTGGTCTTCAAGAGCAGGAGCGGCAGCTGCTGCTGCTGTTGCTTCTGCAGCTGCTGCTGCTGCTGCTGCTGCTGCTGCTGGTTGACTGCCTTCCTCTCCATTGTCAGTGTGCAGCGACTGGCTGCGGGAGCCGCAAGGAGGACTTTCTCTGAGCTCTTTTTGCTGGTTTGTGCAGAGGTTTGTAGCGAAGTAAACAGAGACAATATCTAATAAAGAGACAATAACCCCCCCCACCTCTAGCCCTGCGTCGCTTAGTATAGCCACACCAGGCACCCAGTCAAAGGCATGAGGCTGCTGCAGCGGGCAAGCGCTGCAGCTGCTGCTGCTGCTGCTGCAGCTGCTGCTGCGGCTGCTGTCGCAGCTGAGGGTACCGCTGCTGCTCGTTGTTGCTGCTGTTGCTGCTGCTGAGGGGCCCTCGACAGCAAAAGCAGGAGAAGGAGGACAGCGTGGCTGCGGCAACTCAACACAAAAATCGTGCTGTATGCAGATGCCCTTCATGATCGGCAGCTGCAGCTGCAGGTCCCTCCCTTTCATTTCTCGCTTGCAGCTCTGCTGCTGCCTGTATGCTGCTGAACGTTGGGGTGTCTACGTACACCCAGCTGCAGCAGCAGCAACAGCTGCGGCTGTTGCTGCT